CCTCATAATGGGCACAGCAGGTGTACAGACCCGGGAACTCAGCACAGGGATGGTGGGAGCCCCTCATAATGGGCACAGCAGGCGTACAGACCCGGGAACAGGTTTTCGGTGTGTGGTTCTGACGCTGAACATCATTAAATGGCCATTAGTGGAGCAATGTTTAATGTGTGAGTGACTCTCCTCCGTCTGTCGTGTTATCACTTCCAGGCGCAGCCTCTGTGCAGGGTCATGTGAGGCTGGGTACCATCTGATCGCTGTGACCTTGTCCACAGTTGTCTCCATGACCTCTGACCCCCATTCTCCCCCCGGGCTCACCATCCTCAGGGACCAGGAGACACTGGAGGGGGGCGTTGTGCAGCCTGTTGTGACCTCCGCAGTGCCCCCTCCTCTCCCGGCCCGGGAGGGGGGGAGGGGGGGGTTTGTTGTCACCACTGTGAGAACTTTTCTTGGGATGCTCTCAGTGTAGAGGATGATTTGGGGTCACCAGAGGATCCTCTCGGTCACAGAAACACAATTCGCTGGCGACACGAAACCTCCGAGCGATTTCCAGCACCATTATCCTGGCGGGACCCCGAAATTCCTCCGTGTCCCCCCCTCCGATCACCATGCTGATTTGGCCCATCGTACTGACGCTGCTCCTCCAAGGTGTGAGTTAGATTTCTATTATTTCACTGACTCCATTATATCTGGAATGAGTGCGGAGTGTAGAGTGTTAGCTCTTCTGCCCAATGTGCTCGTTGTCTGCGGGTGTGCGAGATTCATATCTGAGACATGAAGCAGACGTTGTACCTGGAAGGATTTTATCTCAGCAGAAAATGGAATCAAGATTCTTTTTTACTGTATAATTATCGCAACGTCACGGCTTATGTCAGAAACCGATCAGTGATGTCACCGCGGCGCGCAATGAGACTGCAATGTGATGAAATGATATTGAATGGGAAATATATATATATATATATATATATATATATATATATATACACAGTGTACTTGTGTATATTATATATATGTGTGTGTGTATGTGTGTGTGTGTGTGTGTAGAGAGAGAGAGAGAGGGGAGACGAAAGAGGGAGGAAAGAAGAAAGGAAGAGAAGAGAAGGAAAAGAGAGAAGAGGAAGAGAGAGATAGAGATGGAACAGAGAAAGGTGGAGGAGAGATAGAAGATTGAAAGGAGAGAGAAGGAAGAGAAAGAAGAAAGAGAGAGAAAAGAGGATAGAGATGGAAGAGTGAACAGAGAGCAGAGAGAAAAGAGAAAGGAGAGAGAAGGGAGAGAGAAGAGAAGGAAGAGAGAAAGGAGAAGGATAGAGATGGAAGAGTGAACAGAGAGCAGAGAGAAAAGAGAAGTAAGAGAGAGAGAGAGAGAGAAGGGAGAGAAAAGAGAAAGGAGAAGGATAGAGATGGAAGAAAGAAGGAAGAGATAGAGCAGAAGGAAGGAGTGAGAAGGAAAAGAGACAGGAGAGAGGGAGAGAGAAAGGAGGAGGAGAGATAGAAGATTGAAAGGAGAGGGAAGGAAGAGAAAAAGGAGAGAAGAGACAGGAGAGAAACGAGAAGGATAGAGATGGAAGAGTGAACAGCGAGAGAGACAGAAGGAAAGAAAATAGAAAGGAGAGAGAAGGAAGAGAGAGAAGAGAAAGTAAAAGAGAGAGACAATGAAGAGAGGAGAGAGAGAAAGGAGGTGGAGAGATGGAAGACTGAAAGGAGAGAGAGCAGGAGAAAGGAGAGAATAGGTAGAGAAAAAGGAGGATAGAGATGGAAGAAAGAATGGAGAGAGAGAAGGAAAGAGAAGAGAGAGAAAGGAAAGAGAAGAGACAATGAAGAGAGAAGAGAAAGGAAAGAGAGAGACAATGAAGAGAGAAGAGAAAGGAAAGAGAGAGACAATGAAGAGAGGAGGGAGAGCGAGAGAAGAGAAAGGAAAGAGAGAGACAATCAAGAAAGGAGAGAGAGAAAGAAGGGAGAGCAGAAGGAAGGAGGGAGTGAAAAGGAAGAGAGAGAAGAGAAGGAAGAGAGACAGGAGAGAGGGATAGACAGATCAATAACAGAGATTTGATTGGGTTGATTGTCTATACGTGCGGAGTACATTCACTCACCTTTCACCTTCGGGCTCATTCACACCCCAACATTGGAGCGCGCAGACATGCGTTTTGTAACACGTCTCGCTGCCCTTTACTGCTTGTTAACATTGTTTTTAATGCTCCATGAAGGGTCAGAATACAAACATCTTCATTCTCTGTATCTTGGTAGCCGCGCTGCGTTGACGCACGTTGTCACGCAGTTTTGTGCAGTGTGCTGAATATAAACGCACCTTACCAATATTTTTCCCCAGTGTGGTGTGAACGGGACACACGAACAGCCATTGTTTTAGCGTCTTTGCGCTGATGTGAATGAGGTGAAGCTGCGCTGACTTCAATCATCCAATCCCATGTGACTTGTATCCCTCCCGGCAGCTGATTGGGTATCTTTGCCAAGTGAATTCCCACTTTGTTTCACCTCATTCACTAAGCTAAGTAAAAATGTGCTTTGCCAAGTGAACCTGATCTGCACCTTTCGTGAATCAACCTTCGGATTTCCTGCACACAGCCTGGAGACCGTCTATATCAGGGGTAGGCAACCTTGGCATCCCACCTACCGCAAAACTAAAAAATCCCATCATGCCTCTGGGAGTCTTGCAATGCCTCATGGGACTTGTAGTTCCTTAACAGCCGGAGTGCAAGGTTGCCTACCCCTGCCATAGACACATCATCCCCGGTGTTCACGGTTTTACCTTCTCAGCAGCAAGGACGTTCCTCCCAGGTATTTGTATCCTGAATAACGTCATGTGATCAGAGCCATGGACGCTCCCAGAGGCACCAAATGCAGATCACTGTGGGCGCTGGTGAGCCTTTTGGGAATGTGCAGCAAATCCTGAGATCTGGGCATGTCATTATTATTTCCATTAGATACCGGTAGACCCCGTTGGATGTAGGGGGGCATCACATGCATATTAGACTAAGTGACCTGATGAAGACGCGAGGACCAAATATCTTTAGTGGGGGGAGGGGAATGAAAAACCTAAAACCTCATCCATTCCTCCGATGTTTTTATAGTGACCAAAATTTAGATGCTCTGGCAGTGAAGTGGTTAATGTTGGTGTGAATAATAATTAGGTGACTGTGAGAAGGATCGGGAAGGGGGGGTGTCTTTGGGGTTAAACAAGGGAAGGGGGGGGGTATGCATCCATCTTCCATCCTGTCTGACAGTATGAATGGCACCCCCCATCCCCCACAGTCTCATCCATCTGCACAGAGTAACCCCCTAGTGGGGGCAGCCTGCAGACCGGTGCAATGCTCTGCGGGTGATTGCGATAATAATACCCAGTGGCTTCCCTCCACAATTTCTAACAACATGCCATATGGCTGTCATTCTGATCCACTGGCTTCATTGCTCACCAGCTCACCCATTCAGAACAGGTATGACTGACAAGCAGGAGAGCTGACTTTACTGGCTGGAACATGTTTCATGTCAGGGGCTCAGACAGCAGTGAAGCCAAAGGATGTACATGACAGCCAGGCAGTTGGATCATCATTGCCGGCCCGGTATCTCCATCAGGATTCCCTTTCTAATGACTTTCTTCCGTCCTCCGCAGTTCGCGCTCTTGGCGGCGACCTCTCGTTCCTCACGGAGCCGGCCGACGCGGTGGCCATATGGGATCAGCCGCTGACCCTTCACTGCCTGGCGGAAGGGGAACCGCCGATCAACATCACCTGGTACAAGGGCGGCGAGCCCCTCCCCCGCGACGCCCACATCCAGCAGCTCCGCAACGGGTCTCTCTGGATCCGCCACTTCCAGAAGAGGAGGCAGGCCGCGGCGAATGACGGAGAGTACAGCTGTGCCGCCCAGAACCGCTACGGGAGGCTGCTGAGCCGCAAGGCCAAAGTCCGGATGGCGTGTAAGTGACGAGAGCTTCATTTTCCGGAAAAGTTCGGCAAAGATTATGTTTTGGTGACAATTTTCCATCTCGGAAATGCTTTGGAGTCAATGGGGGAGGGTGAAATTAAAGGTGAACTCCGGGGTAAGGAAATACTGTCCTCATACAAGAGTCATGTGTATTCTTCCCGGAATCTCAGTGAGCTTTGTGTATTTCTTCCAGATCTGTGAAGTAATCCGGTGTGAGACTTTACTTCCTGTAATAAAGACCGGTCACTGCTGCTCTCTCTCCTTGTGCAGGGTGACTGGTCTTGTCTCCGCCCCCTCCTGTAATAGAGACCGTTCAATGCTGCTCTCTCTCCTAGTGCAGGGTGACTGGTCTGGTCTCCGCCCCCTCCTGTAATAAAGATCGGTCACTGCTCTCTCTCCTTGTGCAGGGTGACTGGTCTTGTCTCCACCCCCCTCCTGTAGTTGCCTTAAATGGTGGGGCCTGCTGGGCCCCTCCCACAGCTTTGATCTATGTACAGCTCAGTGATGACGTCACAAGGCAACATTTGGGTTTGCAACGGCATTTGGTGCACACAAAGTGGATTTGTATCCTTTGAGCAATATAGCTTTAAGGTGATGTTTTGATATCTGCTCCCGAATAGCGCAAAACACTCGCCAATTGGGGGTATGAAAAATTTCTGTGAAAATCTGGAATTTTCTTTTTTTAAATCAGATAATTTTTTTTCAAGTTTAAAAAAATAAATAAATACAGAGAAAGGGAATTTTCTTTTTAAAGGATGCAATGGGCGTCACATGGTCCCAGAGGGTGATGGAGGATCCTTTAGGGCCAATTTATGTTGAGGCAGTCCATTCATTTTGGACATGGCCATTTGTTAAACACACGTCATGTGACCTGCGATGCAGGGTGGGTGTGTTGGGGTGGTGGAGATCCTCGCACTGATAATCGGTGGATTGGAATGTCTGAGGCTCTTCTGTGGCTCCTCTTTGTGGTAATATCTGAACCTCTCTTTCCGTTCCTCAGTTCTGTCTCACTTCCACCTGAACCCCCAGCCGATGGCCGTAGCAGTGGGCGGAGTGGCGCGTTTCCAATGCCTGACCACATCTATCCCAAAAGCCACCATAACCTGGGAGAGAAACCGCACGGTCCTGATAACCTCCGACCCCAGGTGAGATGACTACATACAAAACCTGGGTACAAAGATCATCTTCCAGGATGTCCCACATCCCCTTCCTTCCCGGTCACATAACTGTACCCATGACCACCACCCCCATTGCACCCCAATCCCCCCATCTGCCCCTCTATTACATCCCATTCCCCCTCCCCCTCTGTTGTTCGATTGTAGCCTAATTCCCCTCTCATTTCCTCTATTGTACCCCAATCCCATCTCTGTTCACTTATTATTCCCTAATCCCCCCCCTATTTATCTCTATTATACACAAAGCTCCCCTCTACTGTACCCAACCCCCCTCTGTCTATTTTACCCCTAACCATCCTCTGTCTCTTTATTATACCCCAACCCTTACCCCCCGCCCCCCCACGTATTGTACCCCAATCTTTCACAGTATCTCTATTGTACCCCATTCTCCCCCCTGTCTCTCTATTGTATCCTGATCACCCCCTCTGTCCTCCTATTATAACCCAACGTCCCCTCTGTCCCTCTATTGCACCCCAATTCCCCTCTGTCCCTTTATTGTGCCCCAATCCATACTCTATGCCGATGCTCCTAATTTCCTCCCTTATAACCCAATCCCACCTCTATTAGACCTCATTGCTCCCTCTGTCCCTCTATTGTATCCAAATCACCCCTCTGTCCATCTGGTATACACCAATCCCTCCTCTGTCCCTCTATTTTCCCTCAGTCCTCCCTAGTATACTCAGGTTCCTCTCTATCCCTCTATTGTGGCACCAATCCCCTCTCTGTCCCTCTATTACACCCCAATCCCCCCTCTGTCCCTCAATTACACCCCAGTCTCTCTTTTGTACCACAATCCCTCCTCTGTCCTTATATCATACTCTGGTCCCCCCTTTGTACCCTAATCCCCCTATGTCCCTGTATTGTACCCCAATCTACCCTCTGCCCCTCTTTTGTATCTCAATGCCCCCTCCGTCCCTCTTATATACCCCAATCCCTCTTTTGTATGTCAGTCTCTCCTTCATCCCTCTATTATACCTTAGTCCCCCTCTGTGTCCCTCTATTACACCCCAATCCCCCCTCTGTCCTTCTATTATACCCCAATCCCCCCTCTGTCCCTCTATTATACCCCAATACTCCCTCTGTCCCTCTATTATACCTCAATCACCCCTCTGTCCCTCTTATATGCCCCAATCCCCCCTCCTATATACCCCAATCCCCCCTCTGTCCCTCTTATATACCCCAGTCCCTCTTTTGTATCTCAGTCTCTCCTCCATCCCTCTATTATACCTTAGTCCCCCTCTCTGTCCCTCTATTACACCCCAATTCTCTCCCAACGCCCCTGTATAAATGTCCTTTCACTTCCCTCTCCCCATGAATAGCTTTATTCATGACATTAGTGGGTGTTATGACATCGTAGTTGCCTGATGGATGAAAGACAGATTTGGGGTACGGTTGGTAGTGAAGGGTTTTTCCCCTGGTTGTGGAGAGGTGTCTCTTCTCCTTATAGAGAGAAGGGGGGATGTCAGAGGCCACCAGTTGTGTTTGGCTCATGAGTGGCGGCCAAACCCAGGAAACAAAATTTGACCCAAAGTAGGTTTTCATTGAGTGTGACCCCAGAACTATGAACATCTGACTCTTTCTGTCCAGGTACACCGTCCTCCCCGATGGCATCTTGCAGATCTCCGGTGTCACACACGACGACATTGGCACTTACAGATGTCTGGCTACAAACCCGGCCAACAGCCGGCACAGCAAGGAGGCGTGGTTGACTCTTACAGGTAAGTCAATGGATTCCCGCCTCCCCCCCGTCCTGGGAAAGACTCACCAATTGCATACCCCCCGGTCACCTGACCTCTCATTTCTGTATTGTACCCCAATCTTTCACAGTATCTCTATTGTACCCCATTCTCCCCCCTGTCTCTCTATTGTATCCTGATCACCCCCTCTGTCCTCCTATTATAACCCAACGTCCCCTCTGTCCCTCTATTGCACCCCAATTCCCCTCTGTCCCTTTATTGTGCCCCAATTCATCATCTATGCCGCTCTTTTCCTCCCTTATAACCCAATCCCACCTCTATTAGACCTCATTGCTCCCTCTGTCCCTCTATTGTATCCAAATCACCCCTCTGTCCATCTGGTATACACCAATCCCTCCTCTGTCCCTCTATTTTCCCTCAGTCCTCCCTAGTATACTCAGGTTCCTCTCTATCCCTCTATTGTGGCACCAATCCCCTCTCTGTCCCTCTATTACACCCCAATCCCCCCTCTGTCCCTCAATTACACCCCAGTCTCTCTTTTGTACCACAATCCCTCCTCTGTCCTTATATCATACTCTGGTCCCCCCTTTGTACCCTAATCCCCCTATGTCCCTGTATTGTACCCCAATCTACCCTCTGCCCCTCTTTTGTATCTCAATGCCCCCTCCGTCCCTCTTATATACCCCAATCCCTCTTTTGTATGTCAGTCTCTCCTTCATCCCTCTATTATACCTTAGTCCCCCTCTGTGTCCCTCTATTACACCCCAATCCCCCCTCTGTCCTTCTATTATACCCCAATCCCCCCTCTGTCCCCCTATTATACCCCAATTCTCCCTCTGTCCCTCTATTATACCTCAATCACCCCTCTGTCCCTCTTATATACCCCAATCCCCCCTCCTATATACCCCAATCCCCCCTCTGTCCCTCTTATATACCCCAGTCCCTCTTTTGTATCTCAGTCTCTCCTCCATCCCTCTATTATACCTTAGTCCCCCTCTCTGTCCCTCTATTACACCCCAATTCTCTCCCAACGCCCCTGTATAAATGTCCTTTCACTTCCCTCTCCCCATGAATAGCTTTATTCATGACATTAGTGGGTGTTATGACATCGTAGTTGCCTGATGGATGAAAGACAGATTTGGGGTACGGTTGGTAGTGAAGGGTTTTTCCCCTGGTTGTGGAGAGGTGTCTCTTCTCCTTATAGAGAGAAGGGGGGATGTCAGAGGCCACCAGTTGTGTTTGGCTCATGAGTGGCGGCCAAACCCAGGAAACAAAATTTGACCCAAAGTAGGTTTTCATTGAGTGTGACCCCAGAACTATGAACATCTGACTCTTTCTGTCCAGGTACACCGTCCTCCCAGATGGCATCTTGCAGATCTCCGGTGTCACACACGACGACATTGGCACTTACAGATGTCTGGCTACAAACCCGGCCAACAGCCGGCACAGCAAGGAGGCGTGGTTGACTCTTACAGGTAAGTCAATGGATTCCCGCCTCCCCCCCGTCCTGGGAAAGACTCACCAATTGCATACCCCCCGGTCACCTGACCTCTCATTTCAACAGGGTCCACTAATCCCAGTCACCAAGAACCGGTCATTCTCTCCGGCCCGCAGAACCTAACTCTAACTGTCCACCAGACCGCCATCTTGGAATGCATCGCCACAGGCAACCCGCGTCCTATCGTGTCCTGGAGCCGACTGGGTAAGAGTAAAGTTAAGATTGTCACCAGGAAATCTCTTTATGTGGTTATTATGGCCGCTGCCTTCCAATGACCTTACAGTTCTTTAGGTTTGCCAATGTCCTCTGTGCTATATGGCTGCTCCACCCAAAAGAACAAAACTCCCTAAGTCCCTCACCAATCCTAAATGGTGTTTTAAATATGAGCATGGCAGGGCATGGGTCTATTTAGTTTAAATACATGCAGCAGGGGGTGTTTGGGACTGGAGATACAGCTCTCTGCCTCCTCTCATTCTTGTTGTTCCTCCAAGCATGGTTGCGGTCAGCCTCTGTGGTTGAACATCCAGCTTAGTGGTGGGAGAATCCAGGTCACCATTATAAATACTCCTCCTTCTATTCTTCTAGATGGGCGCTCCATCGGAGTGGAAGGGATCCAGGTTCTGGGGAATGGAAACCTGATGATATCAGATGTGTCTGTGAAGCATTCTGGTGTCTACGTCTGCGCTGCCAACCGGCCGGGTACGAGAGTCCGGCGTACAGCTCAAGGGATGTTACTGGTCCAAGGTGAGTCCCCTCTGGAAGTATGTTATGTGCCTGTTCCATAAATCTTGTATGTCGAAGTGCCACCATATGTCATGGCGTTGTACAACACATGAAGTCACTACGAGACATGGGCCGCATACAGAGCAAAAACCTCAACTATTTGGAAAAGCTAATAGTCTATTAGGGAGGATTCAGAAGGCAGAAGAGCTTACAATCTATTAGGGGATAAGGGAGGATACAGATGGCAGAAGAGCTTACAATCTATTAGGGGATAAGGGAGAATACAGAAGGGAGAAGAGCTTACAATCTATTAGGATATAAGGGAGGATACAGAAGGGAGAAGAGCTTACAATCTATTAGGATATAAGGGAGGATACAGAAGGGAGTGCCCCCGCCTCTAATTCTCCATTATTCCTTATTTACTCCCCATTAGTCCATTTTGTCCTTTCTTCTCTTTTATCCACCATTGTGCCTCGTATTCTGATCCCCAGGGACCTGCGCCTACTACTCCTTTCATGGCCTGTGTGCGCCGGCCTGCGCTCTCACGTCCTGCGTCCCGCCCTCTAGCTATTCTT